CCTCCAGATAGGTTTGGGAAGCACCTGTGTTCCATCTTCAGAAGACATTACTTTTATGGCCGAGTTATGGTCACAAATTAGCATTTAAAAAAATTTTTTTTTTGGTCTTTTGGAGACAGGGTTTCCCTGTAGCCCCAGCTCTCCTGGAACTTGTTATGTAGACCAGGCTGGCCTCAAACTCACAGAGCTCCACCTGCCTCTGCCTCCCGAGTGCTGGGATTAAAGGTGTGCGCCACCACACCCGGCTATGAAATCTTAAAAATATGCACACAGCCATCTGTTTTTCAATTAAAATAGTCAGAGTTTAGTCAAGCAATTTTTTCCTTTATTTTTGTTAAATAAGACTCCAGAAAGTGTAATAGTGCAAACACTCAGTAGAAAAGTTGCAGTTAAGAAATGTACATTCACATTAACATTTCAGTCCATTCACTTTTAAAATAAAAATAGGACAAATTATTCAATTACTTTTCTCAATTTAACAATCTTGAAAAAGACTGGAAGGTGCTCTACAGTGTTCAGTTGACATAAAAATAGACCCGTATTGATTATACAAATCTATCGTGAGAGGTTACCCAGTGAGATTGAGTTATTGTGATTCTGAATATGATCATTGTGTTCTCACAGCTACAGTAGCCTCTGGTGAGTTAAGCTTGTGGGAGAAAATGACCCCTTCGCCCATGCACCCTCCATCCCACTAAGGGACTCAACGCTTTCTTGATAAACACAACACAGGTGCTTTACAGGCCTTTTCCTTAGTAAGAAAATCCAGAAGTGGGCTTGGGCTTACCTTAAATCAAGATGGAATTACTGCTAAGACATAGTCGTGTGAGTATAATGACATTCCCCATTTGTGCAAATTGGTGAGCAATTAGCATAACTGAGAGGCTGGTAGGAAAAGGAGTGTGGGCTAAAAGGAGGCAGTGGACAGTAAGTGCTGGAGCCACTCGAAGCTCAGGCTCCACAAGATCTGGCACTGGCTTAGGGGATGCTCTGCCTCCAGCAAGTCTAAGCCCGTCCCTTTGAGCATGCTGCACAATTTCAAATTCAAACTAAGGTGCACACGATTAGGAATTTCATGGCATGCGGTTCTAGAGTGCAAATGGCTTGCATATACTCAGTTTTAACAGGGATGAAGGCAACAGAGCAGGCCCCTCCTCCTCAGGCATGTGTGCTCTTGGTGGCCAGTTGTGCCCATACTGCCGGTGTAAGCAAGAGGGGTTTCCTTGGGATCCCCACAATATGGGAGCAGTCCCCTGACACCTGTGCTTCATATGCCTGGGGCCGAGTAGAGGTTGCTGGTGGGAGATAGAAAACAAGTTCTGGCTGCTGTTGGGTCAACTTGCCATTGCAATGCCATGGGAAGTCGTTGCCCACAAATCTAGTAGTTGCAGGCAAATCTAGTGACCTGCAACTGTTCTTGGAGACAATCCTGCAATGAGTATATTAAGCCCAAGAGATTTCATAAGCCTCTTAGGAGTTAGTCTTGGATATCACTTCTCTTGAAACATTGATTCTATCAATAAGTGGCTGGAAATGATTTGAAAACCAGCTTTCTCAAGTCTATGCTGCCTGGTATCATTGGGAACCCAGAAGGCAGCTGGGGCATCTTTACTTGAAAGGTTGCCAAACGTTTCACCATCTATTGTAATCCCTTCCTTGCCTTCTGCACTCTCCTGGGAAAATCTCTCTAAATACCCTTTAATCCCTGGAAAGGCTGTGCCCATCAGTAGCATATGACACAGTAATGGCTCTATGGTGTTGAAAATATGTGCAGTAACAGCAAACACAACCTACAGCCTTCCCCAAGGTCATAGAATTCCTGATCAGCAACTGGAGCCAGGCTGGCTAGGTGAATGGGAGAAAGTGTGTGTGTGTGTGTGTGTGTGTGTGTGTGGTTTGAGGTCTATGGGAGTGTCACTGCTCTCTGTCCCTATTTGATGTCAGGCCTTTCAGAAAATAGTCCTTGTTTAAGGTTCTATTAGACACAATGACAGTTTGTGTTCTGAAAAGTTTTAGAATATCAAGTATGACACTGCCCAGTGGGAACTGTTGCAGGTGGGTATTTGACTTTCTTGTTGAGTGTCAGAGGAGGAATGCAACTTAATCCAAAAGAAATTATATGGCTCTAATTTAGCAATAAGAAACCAAGGACTAGAGAGCCATAGAACACTTGGTCAAAGGCTCCAAGTACGGGGGACAGAGCAAGCCTTGCCCACAAAGGACCGCCTTAGTGAGGGCCTCTGGCACCACACTAAGCAAGTACTGTTGCATGGACAAGCTTGTTTTCTCCATCAAAAGCACCCCAGTTCTCACACATGTCAATGTTAGCAAAGAGACCCTAACTGTAATAGAAAACACAAGGCTTGTGATAGGACAGATCAGGAGCTGAGGTCTGGCCCTGCCTGTCAGGTCTGTATGATATACTCAAGCCCCACCCCACCTGGGTCACAGTCGCTGGACTGCATGAGTTGAATTATACCAATTCCTCCACAGACTGATGGAGGGATGGAGGGAGGTGAAGCACACAGAAGGTGCCTAGGGACTATAAAGCCAAAACCAGTAATGAGTATTTTTCTCAATTTATCCTCATAGCGATGAGCCCAAGAGACTGTTAACTAACTGGACAATGGTGACTGCTCTCCCTGTGATGGACTGTGGACATAGCACATCTACTGACATGCTGAAGAAAACTCAGAAAATTCACAAAGGATGAAGGAATTAGATTTAAAATGACTAACATCTGTCAGGACAGAGAACATGACAGCAGGCTAGATAGTAGTTACTGTGGTCAGTTTTCTGAATTTTAAGGTATTTGTCCAGTCAGTTATAAACCACAACCCAAATGGCCGCCTGACTCTTGCTCTTGTGGCTGCACCACCCAAACAGACAGCAGCTGGTACCCTCAGGTGGAAGGTGGAAGGCCCTCAAGAAAGCTCCTGTAACCTGGAGGGCAGGGAAGGGCTCATGGTGCCTGAGGCTGTCACCACTTGGTTTCAGGGCACTTATCTTGAGATTACTACAAAGTTCTCTATATGCCCAAACCCCCAAACCAACCAGACAAAAAGAAGTATGACCAATGGAGTCTATTATAGACCAACAAGTCTATGTCTGGACCTGAGTGCTAATATTATAGAGATTCTTTTATAAGAGAAATCAAAGAGCTCAGCAGTTGTTAGTGGACAGTCACTCAGGGATGTGTGGACATCCCAAGGTCAGGTGCTATCTTGGTTTATAGGATGCCAAATGTCTCAAGTGACAGTCAGCTGTCTATGTTTAACTTTAATTTTATCCCTTATATGAATCACCTTAACCTCAGGAAGAAATATTTATTTTGCTTACATTGTATACGACAGGTACACATGTGCATAGGCACACACATGGATTTGAATTAAGAGTGGCCAGATCTGGTATATGTGTAACAGAGTGGATTAAAATGTTAATGAAACTTAAAAAGACCAAACGTCTTAGTCATGACATGCTGACATGTTGCTTAGACAATCGTTTAGTGACAGAATGTGGCATCTGAAATTGGATCTGTGGCATTTATGCAATGGACCACAGAGTGACAAATCTCACATCCTATTCCTGGCTTTTATTTACTACAGTGTGAACTTGCAGGGCAAGGCAGGAAATCTGAATACTCCAAGGTGTCCCCTGGGTTCTTAGAGGGAAGGCAGAGCCTGGAGGGCACCAAGACCTGCCTGCTCCCTGTGTTTATGCAGGGTTGTGCTCACTGGGTAGCTGACCCTGTGAGAGGAAACAGCCAGGAAGTTGCTAATGCATGCTCCTCACCTTTGGGCCCCTAAGCATCACAGGGCCTGTGGCTTCTAAGTAGGAGGAGCCCGTGTGCAGCTGTCACTGGCCAGTAATAGGACTTGACCACCCCAGATCATCTGACTCCACATATGGTAAATCAAACTAGCAGAAGTGTGCTTTCCAGTGAGCAACAGGAGCCATCTTGAGTATCTCCTTCAGTTCTGTCCCCACCCTGCCCTCCAGAAGGGGGTGTCTATGACCTGGTCTTACACCTTCAGTCTTCTCCTAAAAAGGCTCCTGGGCTCTAGGCCCTGTGCCTCTAGCTAAGTTCAGCCGAGACACTGATTTCAGCCCATATGGCACCAGTTAACCAAATAGTCACCATGAGGGGTCAGGGCCACTGAAGGCCAGAGAACATCCATGTCCACCACACCCTTCTGTCTCCTGTGAACATCTGACCACATTTCCTCTCTGGTGCCTAAGAGCTCAGAATAGTTCTTATGCAAGATAGTTTAGGCGCCTCAGTTCTTGGTTCAAGACCTCTTTCTGCCTGAGACAGAGATTAACTACCCATCCCCCAGGCCAGCTGGGAATGGCTCCAATCCTGCCTGCTGAACTCTGGGTCCTATCACATTTCCAAGCAGACTCCTGCATCTAAGTCTACCCCATACAGCTCCTCTAAACCCCAGCATAAGGAGCCATGAATACAAACCAACCCCAAGATTCCACATGGAAATAAAACCACACACATATTTACCACCAACTCACTGCCAAGCCTAGAGTTGTAAATGGAAATAAGGAACTTCTGGTTTAAACCTGCTATGTGAAAGTTCAAAGCCAACTACAACCAGGGAAGCGGGATCAAAGCCCACACAACATCCAAGCTGCCAGACTTGTTCTTTATCAATTCCACAAAACCATTTTTATTAAAAACTCCAATCACCTCTGAGAAGGTAGAATGGTGTGTGTGCATGCGTGCATGTGTGCGTGCATGCACACATACACACATATTTTTAAGTTGAAGCCATTAAAAAAACATGTACAAGTCAGGTTCTGGGGGTTACTTTATATATGCAGCCATTTTCTGAATGTAAATATCAGTATCACTTCTTGCTAACCCCTTCATACGAAGGGCTGATAGGTGCACAGTATCTGTAAAGTGTGCCCTTTCCTTGCCACTGTTATGTGCACGGTTGCTCTATAAACCCTCCATATCCATTGGACATAGATCCTGTACAGGCTGTGAACAAGAACCTTGGGACTTGGGAAGTCCCAGAACCCACTGTGCAGAGGGTGCAAGAACCAAGTGAAACCTCTGTACCTCCTTGATTCCCAATCCAAACTGCTGTCCTCTTAGCAGCCCATGAAAGCAAGCCAGTCTCTACAGGCTGCTGTTAGGACTATAGCACAGCTTCCTTCAAATGCAGGTAAATAAAACACAGAATATCTTACAGCTACCCACATATGCCAGTCAAGCCCAAGGCATGAATCCTCTATGACAGTCAGGATAGAGGTTTCCCCAGCCCTTCCTGCCAGACCCTCAAGGGGTTCCATCCTCCCCCATAGAAAACAGGTGTTCTGTCCCAAAAGTTCTTCCACCCCAAAACAACACTGTGAAAGATGAGATGCATAACCTTGAGTGTGCCATCATTTTCTTTAAATGGCATTTCCACAGGCAAGCCTTGAAATGTTACCCTTTAATGCTCCAACTGATGAAACAAACTAATCACCCTTGGTCACATGAGGCTAGCATTGCAATTCAAGGAGAGTTATAGATTTGGGATCAGATGGGTACCCTTGCCTTTGTCCATTAGTAAGCAATAGTGTGAAGTCCAGGACTGCAGCTGGCTTGGTTGGCTTAGCTGTCTGGAGTACCAAGCTTGGATCTAGGAACTGAGGGACTAGAGCTGGGCCTTCTGGGAGGGATGGTGGCTGCAAATAACATTCCTTCACAAACAGCTTGCATGCATGGGTAGTTTCTGAATCACCAATCTGTTTGGGCCAGACTTGTCTCTACAGTATAGAGTTATGGTTATTGCTTCTATGAAAGAATGGGTCTGGAAGCCCTGTGGCTTTGCAGTCTGAGAAAAACAGGCTGGCAACTTGGTTGCTGGGTGTGGGTGGACGTCCACCTGTAGGTATGGACACTCCAGAAGTGGACTGGCCTGGGCTGGCACGGCCCATGGAAACATTTGGAAGCATTCTGGGGCTGTGTCCTACTCTACAGTGTCAGGCACGGGAGGCATGCTAGGACTGAGAAGGGAACACACAGGGTCATTTCCCAGGGGCCACAGCATCACAAGTGGGGGCTGACATGGGTGCTGGGCTTTTCCTCATTTTTGGTACAAGTCAACAGGCAGCACCTGTAACTGGTGCACTATTTACAGAGCATCTTAAATAATTTAGAGAGAATTCTACTCAAATGGCTCTAACATTTGTACATAAATATTGTACAAGATTAAAAATAAATAAGGCAATATAATACATTTTTATCACAAATAAAAAGGAAGTTGTTTTGTTTTGTTTTTACCAAACCCCAAGGAACATTATGGCTGCATATGGTTCCTGACAGAACAGGAAGTGGGCGGGTTTGGAACTGCTGATGATGGAGATGTCACCCCTGAAGTACAGACCCAGCCAAGGCTCCTGTGTGGCCCACTTCAGAACGGTTCTATGCCCAGAGAAGGGAATGTCAATAAGGTGGCTTCCTCTTGCTCTGAGGACATCTTAGGTGGTTTTTCCCATGCATCCATCTAATCTCATGATTTTTCACACATGTGATTACACAGAGCAACAGTCTGGGGCTGGCTCTGCTCAGAGTCCCACAGGTCATAACCAGACATCACTGGGCTGGCCTCCTCCCTGGTGGCTTTGATGCGTCTGTCTGCCACTTACTCAGGCTGTGGTTAATTTCAGTTCCTTCTGGTTGTCGGAGTGACATCCCTGCTTCTTTGCTGGCTAGAGCTGGGTTGTCCTCACATTCAGTTTCTGCATTGTGGTCTTGTGGATCATCATCTTCAAGTCAGCAATGAGGACTCAGTCCTGTGCATGCTTCACACGTCTCCCAGCCCTTCTGTACCTCTGTTCACTTCAGAGCATCATGAGTCTGCACCAAGCCTATTGTAGAATCCTTTCTCATCCTTCAGTGCATACCCTACTTCCCTCGGTAAAGCTCCTTGGCTATGGGACAGGACACACCCACAGGGGCTGGGACTAAAGTGTGGACATCTTTGGGACCCAATTCTCTGTTCCTAACCTGGACAGTCCAAGTGGGCAGTAGCTTTAGGAGCTCAGAAATCACTCTAAGGAAACCCAAGGTCTAGGCTGTGCTAGTTCTTTGTCCTTCCTAAAGGTCTACAGGTCCAGGGACAGCACCACAGCCCAGCAGGAGAGAGGCAGCCCCACAGCCTGCAGAGTCAGGACCACAGTATACTCATTCTCTCAGGGTGCTCCTGTCTGAACTGACTGCTTCAAATCAGGCTAGGACAGACAGACAAGTGAGAAAGTCCTAGTGGAAAAGAAGCCCATGAGGATGAGCCATTTGCCCCAGTGATAGGAAAACACGGGAGCAGAGAGGAGGCAGGAGCCATAAAAGGGTGGGTAGTTGGGTGCTCTAGTTAGGCATTGGCCCTGTTCTGGCTCATATGGACCCTGGGTCATCAGAGAGACTTGCCTGTCCTTAAAAGCCCTCCAACAACCTGGAGCTGTACTCTCCAATGCTCATGTGGACCGTGGGAGAGGCTCCAAAGCCTCACCCCGGAGCCTCTACCCTGCCCTCAGCTTCACTCACCTACACAGTGATGCCAAAATACCAGGCCACGGGAGCCAGACATGACCAGGAGAAGGGTGAAGCTACCTGCTGTCCAACTCTGACATCTGCAGTGGGGCTCTGAGGCTAGTCTGGCTCCAAATCTGAGTTCTGGCCAGAGCAAGGTGCCAGAGAAGCAGCAAACTATGACCGTACCACCCTGAATGCATTTGGTCTCATGAGGAAGGCAGCAAAGCAGGGTGGGCATAGGTCACAATCCCTCTTCAGAAGGTACCAGGAGACATCCTGCCCACCAGTCACAAAATGTCAGTCCAGCCCACAAAGGAGAATGTACAATCACAGTCCTGCCCAAGCACCTACAGACTATGGCCTCAGGTACTTGGAGATTTTGCATGAAGTCTCCAGCTCTCCCCTACCCAAAGCTTTCCTCCTACCCACACATGACCTGAGTCTAGACTCAGCTGAGTCTCCCAGGGATGGATGCTGACAGACCTGTAAAGTTACCATGGTCTCAGCCTTAGAGTTGAGCCAGAACTGAGTCAGGGACCGGGGATGCCACTTATGCACCCTTCCAGGGAAGTCTGTCCTATTCTAAAAAGCTGGGACACCAGGAAGGGGAAGAGCCCTTGAGGGGCAGTGAGGAGATGAACCTCGACAGCTATGAGCAGGCTGGCAGAGGTCATGCCCATCTGCATGCCCAAGCTGCCTCCCTTCCTGTGAGTGAGGCTGAGCATCTCCAGGAACCAGGCTTCATCTGTTTCATCTAGCTATTCGGGCTAGTTCTTTCCCAGCAGCTTTCACAGACTCCTATCCCACAACATTCACAGTCTTCATCCAGCTGCAGTCATTGGGATGCAGAAGTGGGAGGTCGCAGGTGTCAAGAGAATCAACTACAGTCTCTTTTCCTGCACTCTGGAGAAGAGGCAACTGGAATTGGGACCGCACACTCTGTTAACTCCCAGAGAAATGATGTCTTCTAGCAAGGAAACCTGCTTTGTAGGTATGACGGGTCAATCACTCAGCATAAATGAAGGCTTGATTCTTGTTAAACTTACAGTATTCAAGACACCACAGAGAAGGCAAAACAGCATACACCCCTCTTCTCTGAATGAATAGAGTTCACACAGATAAAGGAGGGTCCAGCTGTCACAGGAGCTGAAAGCCAGCAGGCAGCTGGGGCTGGGGGAGGATGCACAGGTCAGGAGGATAGAGGTGGGCCTACACATCCTCCTGTGGATTCCAGAAGGCCCGCCTCTGGCTCTTAGCAAAAGCCGGTCTTGAAGAAAGTCAGCAGCCTCACTCGTCATGCAGCGAGAGGTGGCTTTTCATTTCTTCCCATACTATCCTGTTCAAGGCCTGACCAGCTCTGTGTTGTGCCTGTGGCATGAACAACCCAGCTCTCATGGCCCTGCCCAGCAGGACCAACCTCCTCATCTGGCACTTGAAGCTGCCTTCCCAGGGCTGGAGCCACCCATTAGCGAGGGCCTACCACAGCCAGGTTGACTTGGTACTCAGTCATGGTGGGCTCCTCTGTTGTTCTGCCAGCTGAACCTCCACAGCCCTTGCTATGACCCTGGCAGATAATTCCAAGGTCCCAATGCCATTGCCAACACTAGCCATATATGGCCAGGTCCACTAGGAAGAGACAAGGTTCCCTATATCCCCAAGGGGGTGGCTTGGGCATATCTCCCATTGGCTCTCGGGCCATATCTGGACAATGCTCCCTCTCCAGCCCAGCCACTTAGCAACTGCTGCTCTGGCTGGTCCTGGCTGGAGCCATGGTGGCCTGTGTTACCTTGGAGCATTCTTGCCCTGCATGCATCTCTGGTGGCCCATGGGCTCCGCTAGGCTTCTTTCCCTGCTGCTGTGGATGGTAGATACTGGCCTGTGGGGGCTGGGGGGAGCCCACGTCTGATCGGGGGTCCAGCTGCAGGACATAATGGGGGCCGCCTGGCCTGGCCTCCTCCTCTCCCATATGGACACATCCTCCGCTCCAAGCGAAGAGACCTGCTGTGGGTGCTGTTTCCATCAGTCCTGCCTTCTAGAAAGTATGTTAGCATCTCTCCCTTGCCCTTGACGCTGACTTTGCCTCGGCATACAAACTGGTAAGAGCACCTCCTCAGCAGCCGGTGGACCTCCTCAGTCACCTGTTGATGGAAAGAAGCCAGCATTACTCTGAGTCATGGGTAATAATGAGGTCCCTGGAACAGGGGTTCCCCACATTCTACCTCCCATCCTGATCCCCAAACCTGGCAGCACCTGGACAAAGCTTCCCAGCCCTACTGCAGCCACTCCATACCTGGTAAGCAGGGCATCCACAGTGGAGCCAAGGTCGCAGCAGGCCCCAAGTGAGCCACTGTGGCTTCTTTGTACACTGGCCAGGCTGTGTGGAACCAGCCCCAGTGGGAGGGCTCCCTGGCCTGGAGCTCCAAGTACCTCAGCAAGGTAGAGTCTGGGATTTCCACCCTCACAACTGGGAATGGCACCCTTAGCTACTAGGGTAGGGGTGCAGCTACTGGATGGGACCCTTGGTGGTGGGGTCACAAGCATGCAAAGAGCAAAGATGAATTGCTGGAAGAAACTGAAGAATCTCTGCTTCACAATGTAAGTCAAAAGCAGATTAAGTATGAGAAAGACTTTCTCCATGGCACAGACCTAGACCAGCAGAAGATACCGCTCTCCCTGTCTCTTAGTGTGTACCCCTCCCCTATCTTATGTTCAAACAATGAAATTGATTCCAGCTCCCTTCTCCCATTCTGGCAGAGCTGAGGAGGGTGCCCCATATCACACTGGGCACTAGGAAGCCTAGAAAACAGAGGGAGGACAGAGGCCCTGTATGTATCAGGGAGGCCTGTGGAGAGGAAGGCCATGTAGGCAGTCATGCCTGTGGAGGAGCTGGGCCACAGGCAGGCTCAGATTAGATTCTAGAAACAAAGATGCAATGTTGGCTCCAGGCAGTGACCTAGTTGGGTGCAGGGTGGGACTCTGTGATGGCTAATCTTGGTTGTCCACTTGACTCAATTTGGAATCAAGAGATAAGCTACTGGGCACATCTGTAAAGAATTTTCTTGATCAGGTTATGTGAAGTGGGAAGCCCCACCCTAAATGTGGACTGTTGAGAAATCTAGCCTTGTGGACTGAGCAACTACCAGGTTCTCAGAGTCTCCAGTGTGAAGACATCCATTGTTGGACTACCAGACCACACTGTGTCAACCAAACTATTAACTTCCCTAATATATATATATTTATATATATATGCATATATGTATTCAATCAGTTCTGTTCCACTAAAGAATCCTGACTCAAACAGTTGCTTTGTCAGGGTATTGTATCACAGCAATAGGAAAAGAAACTAAGACAGAAACTGATACCAAGAAGTGGGGCCATTGCTCTCATAAACCTGACCATGCAGTTCTTATGCCTTTGGAACTCTTTTGCAGCTACAATGTGGAAGAATTTGCAACTTTGGGTGACAAAAGCCATTGGATGCTGGGAGAGGTGTTAATAGTCAGTCTGTCCTAGTAGAAGCTTGGAAGACAGGAATGTTGAGAGAAATGTGAACTATGGTGGCCCAACTCATAAGGTTTCAGAAAAGAACAAGGACTATGAGGAACTGGGCTAGAGGACATTTGTGTGATATCTCAGCCAAGAATCTGTCTTCATTCTGCTTTTCGCTTGTGCTCCTGAGCACTTAAGTGAAGCTGGATTTAAAGATAACGGACTGATTTGTTCTGCAGGGGAAATTTAAGGACAGGAGGGCATTCAGACTGATGGTGAGAAAGCAGCTCTAATTGCTAAAAATACCAATACCACTGAGATGATGAGAGGGGTTCCCTGAAGGTAACAGCCTACCCATTAGAGACTCCATCTTGTGAAAACCCAAATTCATTTAAATGAAGAAAGCCTATGTCAACGGAGTTCCCTGCTCCTTGAAAGCAACTTCCTAAGAGAGTGTGTTCCCTGGGATCAGAACACAGAAGCTGATGCTTCTTGGTCCAGGGGGCCCAAGCTCTCTCTCAAGATGGCAGCACAGCTTGGCAGTGCTATCCATGTGGTGCTGCTTTGAAGGCATAGAGAATGCAATATTGAGTGGGTCATGGTGAGCATCTGAATCCAGGAAACGTGTGACAAGGTCAGAGTCCCTGCAGGGAAGCCCTTGTGTGAAGTTGTGAAGGTGAAACCTCAGTTGCAATAGAGACCCAAGATATTGAGATGCCAGGGTACAACATCTGGCTAGATGAGCTGTGGTCACACAGAGAATCTACGGGTGCCATGGGCAGCAGAGCTAGAGAGGTGGGCTACCCAAGCACTTTGGAGCCCAGTTACTTCAGTATAACTGTTTCTTGCTATGCCCCATTGCTACCATTTTGAAATAGGCATGTTTACTCTGTGCCACAGTGTGTTGGGAAAAATGTAACGTTTTCTTAATTTTATAAAAGACTTTGGAATTTTGCAGTGTTGGAACTATCAACGACTGTGGGGACTTTTGATATGGGAATAAATGCATTTTAACAAGGTCATAAGATTATGGGGACAAGGAATGGAAAGTTATGGCTTAAAAGTAATGTGTCTGAATGTCAAGTTGACAAGGGGTAGAGTTGTGATACCTAATATTGTCCGCCTGACAGAGTCTAGACTCACTTGCGGAAAGGGCCTCTGAACGTGCCTGTGGGGGATTGTCTTGATGATGTTAATTGATATAAGAAGACCATCTTAGTTGTGAGTGGGGCCTGGCCTGTATAGGTGGAGAACTTGAGCTGAGCACCAGCAAATGTGAATCACTGCTCTCTTTTTCTGACTGTAGGTATAATGTGACCAACTGCTCCAAGCTCCTGCTGACTTGACTTCTCTGCCACAATGGACTGTACCTAGAACTGTGAGCTAAAATAAACACTAGTTTTCATTGAGTTACTTTTGCCAGAATATATTGTCACAGAAACAGAAGAGAAACGTGGACTGGTTCTCATAAGAGTCTCCCTTGTCGAGAATGACTGATTTGGGGGAGCCCACTGAGGAGTCTAAGGATACTGTCCAGGTGAAAACACATGTCTTGGAGAGGGGAGCAGTGGCAGCTGCATCACTATAGGGGTGCTCAGTGCTAACTGTCTGTCTACTTAAATGGTGAAAATCGTGCATTTTATGTAGATTTTTACCAAACTAAAAGAAATCTGATGAACATTAAAGAAACGCTGTCAATGCAGAGTGCAGAGCTGCTCAGGGAGCACTGGAACTTGGTCCTGGAATTAAACACTGGGCACATGCCTGCACCTCACGGTGCTGAGGAGTGATGGAGACTTCATGGTAAGTTGAAAGGTCAATACTCAGTGGGACACAATTCCATGAGAACTATGGAGTCAGACAACCCTCTATGTGGCCAGGGCCTAGCCACAGCATGAAGGACCTATCCTACCTCTTAAGTGTCCTGTGTTCACTGCCCTTGTTCCCACAGGTCCTGAAGCCAGGAATTATGTGTCAGGATAAGGATGTCCCTCTGATGCCATCCAAGGCTGCAGTTCTCTTGTGGGGTGGCAGGAGGCCATGTTAGCTCTTTGTAGGCTCCATGTTATCCACAGAGCTTCATCCAAGTTCCAGGTCGCATGTTATTCTCAGGAAAATCCTAAAAGTTGGGTCTTTCCTCCACACTATGAAGACCAGAAGCCACTACCTTCTAAGCCTTTCAGTGGCTCTTAGAAGATGTCACACCCACCTGAATGAAGTTCCCAGAAGTCGTGGGTGTGCCCAGCATCATGTCCTTCAAACACATGAGAACCATCTCTTCCCTCCCATGAGAGCAGAAGAGTGACCACAGGTCTGAGACAAGGAAGAGCGCTGAGAAGCCAGGCCTTTAGTCCACTGCGTAAGCCCTGACTCATTATGATCCCTAATTCTCCTTCTGCTTACTCGGGAGTAGCCCCAAGGGTGCATGAAAAAAATGTTAAATAGTAAAAGCAGTCTGCAGGCTCGGGAGCATTTTCCAGATCCAACAGCAGACACTGAGATATACAGCTAGATCTGCCCTGCCACTTGCTGGCCACAGACCTAGGGCTCACCCTAAATCCCCAATGCCTCAGTTTCTTCACCTGTGTCTTGGGAGTTTCTGGGTGATTTACCTGGATTCTGCCCTGGACCCCAGTGCTGTCCATCCGACTGGCCACATTGACTGTATTTCCCCAGATGTCATATTGGGGTCTTCGAGCGCCAATCACTCCAGCCACCACAGGGCCAACGTTGATGCCTAGAAAACAGCCACAGCATGGCCTATGGGCAGCTGGAAAAGCAAAGCACACCTCAGCTGCTGGTGTGCTATGCTGTTCCTGGTCAAGAGGATGTGCTGTTTGGAGTCATCTAGAGCCAGGCTCCATTCTAAAGCAGGAATCTTCAGCCTCACATAGGTGGCAGCAATCCCCTCTGGTACAGGGGTCCCCTGGTGGGCTGGCAGGCAGCTCCTCAGCACTGGCCACCATACCTACAGCAGCACTGGACATCAGAGTGATTCCTAACCCTGAAGAAAAGCCCCAGGTCCTGTCACTTTGGCTTCTATGTGGAGTCCTGCTCTGGAGCCAACAAGAATCTGGTTCTACAGCCTCTGTGACCACAGTGTACCTCCAAATACACCTCTGCCCCCTAAAAGTTACAGATGCTTCCTAGCTTTTCTGGAATGCAGCCATGAAGCTACATTGCTAGGGTATGGGTCCTAGCTCTAAGTATAAGCTTAGATGTCCAGAGGGAAAGAAATGAGGCCCCTCTCCTTTCACAGCTCAGAGTCCAGTTGGCCTCAGGGACACTCCACAGCTCAAGACTACTATACCTGGTCCAGGCACATTCATGTCTGCTGCTATCTGTGAAAGCTTTGGCAAAGTGCTCACCCTCTCTGGGCCTGGGTTTCTTCCTCTATAAATGGGAGCACAAGATGCTCTGTGCCATCCTGCTCTGGCCTTAGTGAGATGTCTGGTGCACATCTACCATACGCAGCTGCTCCTCCAAGGGGCTGCCTGATCTCAGCAGATGTCACTTCCCATCTGCCCACTGGGCTTGTGAGCAATGTTTCTGCACTTAACCTGAGGTTATAGGCTTCAGAGACCAGCCTCGGAGTCTCATGGGTGACCAGAAAGGACCCCTAAGGGTCATTTCTCAAATGGCTAGTCAGACAAGGCTAGGAGCCACTTCTACCAATCCTGGATACCTACATCCAGGTAGAGTAGCCTTAAGTCATAAAGAACCCTCATCAAGCCCAAATGTGGGACTAGCCAGAGGCCAGCATGGGGGAAGCAGAATCTCTGACAAATCCAATCTGTATCTGGTCACATCAGTACAGGTATTGATCAGAACCAGAGGTCCAGGAGGAGGCTGACCACTTGAAAAGAGGCCAATGCCTCTCTGTCCATGCTGTCAAGAGACACGATGCTGCAACAGAGCTTGTTTCTTAGGACACCACCTGCTATGAAGGTGATCATCTCCTATCACACAAAAGCACAGCCAAGAGCTATTTCAAGGGCACTAGATATTTGCATTGTAATGTGGCCACAAACCTCTAGTTAACGGTATCCTTGACTAGGCAGAAAAAAACAGGTGTGGAATAAGGAATGAGAGGAAGGGAAAACCATAAACACTTAACCCAACTGGATTCTAGACTAGCAAGAAATTTTCTGACAAACTTTCTATGTATATCTCAGATAAAAGGTGAGTTTATAACAGGATTAAAAATTCCCCAGAAAATCATAGCTTTGTAAACACAAGAAAGAGGCCTGGACATGAAACAGTTTCCCTCGTCACTTCACAACCAGAGAAGGAGCTGCCTGGGCCCTGAAGCTGGGCTCCCTCTAAAGCCTCCCATAAGGGGACCTGCATGCCCAAGATGGTGGTGCATGCCTTTAATCCCAGCACTCGGAGGCAGAGGCAGGTGGAGCTCTGTGAAATAGAGGCCAGCCTGGTCTACATAGTAAGTTCCAGGAAGGCTGGGGCTAGGGAGACCCTGTCAAAAAGACAAAACAAAACATCAAAATAATAAACAATAAAGGGTCCTGCATGATTCAGCCCAGCCACTGGGGTAGTAACAGAGGAGCCTATCCCCAGTTGACTGAGGTCACAGAGGTGCCTCTGAATGACTCAGCAGCAGTAGAGAGACCTAATGTGTCTCATGAGCTGCACAATGAATCCTGACTCTAAGTTCCTTCCTGAAACATGGCATTTCTATAAGCTGTCCTCAAGCAATACTGCCCCTATGTCCCTGTGTGCCCCTAGGCGGTGCCACCTTCCTCTTGTGAGACCAGAAGCCTATGCTGACCTTGCTCCCAGCAGGGTAGGAAATGTATCTTCCATCACAATAGAGATGAGTTCAAAGTCACCTACCAACTCGGAGAACAAAGTCGTTGTATGATTGGTAGTTGATTTCATCCAGGACATCAAACATGTCAATGGCAAAGTCAGCCAGTGTGCTCAGGTGGGAAGAGATGGACTTCCTCGCCTAAGTGTGAAGAGAGAACAGTAGGTGTGTGGAGTGCCAGGGCAGGAGTGGGGTGGGGCACCTGCACAGGTCTTGGGACTGGGATTTAATTCTTACAAAACATAGCAATCTTGGAAATCACAGGTGTTTTTGGTCCCTTCCTGGGGACACATTTATCCTCCTATTCTACAGTAGGAGACTCAGGGTGTTGCCCAAACTGTGACTTATTAGGACCATAGTTGGAAACCAGACCAAAGCCATGCTAGTCTAGCCATGTCCCTCTGCAGATGAGAGGAACAGCCACTGGGAGCAGGACACAGGTTGGACAATGCTGTCAATACACTTTGTAAATGACCACAGACATAAAACAGGAAGGGGCACCAACTCCCTTCCTGGAGACTGACACTAGATCTGTGTGTATGTGTCTAGAATACAAAGCCCTCGCTTTTATTGAAACAGTGACAATTGGAAGCATTCTAATTTGTATTTATACAAGACATTTATTTGTTCCCAATATCGGGAACGAATGTTCTTAAACAATATTGAACAGGCTTTATTTTTGGATGGTTTTGGGTTTATGCGGAACTGAGCAGATGACACTGTGTTTCATGCAGCACCCTCCCCCGCATAAAATTCACTACTGCTGCTTTCTTGTATCTGGTGGCACATTTGTTATAATCAGTGAGCCAATATCAGCATATTATTACCAATCAAAAGCTGTAGTCAGTGTTAAGGTCCACTCTGGTTATTTCATGCTGTTTTCACTTTCTTATTGCTGTGATAAAACACTGACCAAAAGCAATTTGGGAAGGAAAGGGTTTATTTGGCTTACAGGTTACAGTCTATAGTTGAGGGAAACCAGAGCAGGAGCTCAAGACAGAAACCTGGAGGCAGGATCTGAAGCAGAGACTATGGAGGAATGTGCCTCTGTGGATCTTTGACAAGGTGTCTATTCAGGCTACCCACCTTTTTTTTTTTTTAAGTTAGCATTTTTCTTATTGTTGAATTTTAAAGGTATTTTTGTTTATTCTAAATATAAATCCTTTATTAGATACACAGTGTGCAAAAGACTTTCTCCCAGCCTGTAGCTCGACTTTTCATTCTCTTAACAGTATCTTTTAGAGTAGGAAATTATCATTTAATGATATTCAATTTACTAATTCTTTTTCTTTCAGGGATTATGCTTTTGGTGTTGAATTGAATCCAAAAAAGAAAGAAAGAAAATCATTCCAGGAACTGGCTGTTCTTATAGAGGACCCAGGTTCAGTTCCCAGCACCCATATATGTGGTGCCTAGCAACCATCTATAACTCAAGTCCCAGGGGATCTGATGCCCTCTTCTGGCCTCTGTACAGCATGAGAACATTTACAAACAGGCAGGCAAAACATTCACACACATTTAAAAAAAATCATCCCAAACTTGATCAAGATCATCTAGATTTCCTCCTATGCTACTGTCCAGAAGCTTTATAGACTTTTATTTTACATTTAGGTTAATTACCTATCTTGAAATAATTTTGTGAAGAGTATAACATCTTTACCTTGGTTCATGTTTCTGCATGTGGATATGCCCTGACTAAAGGTACTGGGCTGTCATTTCTCCACTGCATAGCCTCTGTTCACTTGTCAAAGATCAGTTGGACACAGTTATATGCGTCGCTTTCTGGCCTTTCTATTCTGTTCCATTGATTAATCTGAGATTTCTCCAACACACTACGCTGCCACAACTGCTGTAGCTATCTAGTTAGTGTTTCTCCAATACTATTTTGGCTCTTCTGGGTCTTTTGTTTTTCAGTATAAGTTTAGGATGTCATGAGATATCCTGGTGCAATTTTGATGGAGATTGAATTAATGTACAAATCAAGTTTATAAGCCCTGATATCTTAACAATAGTCATTTTCCCCATGCAGGAATATAGAATAGTTTTCCTTATATAGGTCTTGTATAAAATGCATTAGATTTATATCAAGTATTTTATCTTCATCTAATAAAGATGGCATTATGCTTGTCATTTCAAGTTCCAAATATCCACTGCTAGTACATAGGCTGACTTTAATGTATGAACCGTGTATGTGACACCACACTATACTAATTTATTAGTTCACTGGTTCCAGGAATGCTTTCTTTCCCCTCTTTGGTTCTCTGAAACTGTCTATATGGTTATGTCATCTGCAAGCAAACATAGTTTTATTTGGGATTCTCTGCCAACTTGGGCTACACAGTGAGTTCAAGTTCAGCCTGAACTATACAGCAAAACCCTGTCTTTAACAAATAAAATAATAATAATAATAATAATAAATAATAATAATAATGCTGGTAAGAAAGAACATTCTTGCAAAACTCCTGATCTTAGGAGGTAGGGGGAGGATTCTCCATTAGGTGTAATGTTAAGCTGTAGGGATTTTACATATGTTTTTTTATCAAGTTAGAGAAGTATTCTTCATTTCCAAATTTACTAATTTTTATTCAGGAATTTTTATTCAGGTTGTTGGATAGAATCAAATTGATCAAATTTTTGCATCAATTTATAGGTTCATATGTTGATATGATGAATTTCACAAATTAACTTTGGAATGTTGAACCAGCCTTACATCCCTGGAATAAATTCTACTTGGCCCTTGTGTAGAATTCATTTATTATTTGATTCAACTTGATGTTTGAGGAGGAATTTATACATTTATATTCATGACAAATACTGGTCTGTGATTTTCCTTCCTTGTGATGCCTCTGTCTAGATTTGGTATCAGGGTATGAGCTAGAAGTCAGGAAGCGTTCCCTCTGCTTCCATCTTCTGGAAGAGATTGGAGATGATTGGTATCACACTTTTCCTTAAATATTTGTTAAAACTCATCAATAAATGTACCTGGGCCTGCTGACTTACTTCTGTTTGGGGAGATTGTTAAATTGCTGAACCAATCTCCTTTGTAGCTATAAATCTACCCAAAATATTAATGTTCATATTTACAATTCTGCCTTGGGGAAGGAGAGTTTTCACAGGTTCAAGACTTGGAGGAAAGGGAATGTGCAGAAGTCAAGGAGAGGCAGTTGGGAGAAAGGGGTCAGGATTGAGGGCTTTCCTAAGAGATGGTATCTGGAAGGAACCAGCCACTGGCCAGCTAGCCTAGGATCTTCTCTTTAACTCAATGCAGGGAAACCAACCCCAGTGCAGGGCCCACCCAGGGTCCCAGATCCATCTGCAGCAGAACTAGGCCCAAGCCCCCAGCAAGTGGCCTGGACACTACTTACCCTGGCTCCTGCTGTGGGCGCCAGCCCCACTGCAGCCATGTAGGTGCTCCCGATGGTCTTGATCTTCTCTAGGTCCTTGTAAAAGTCCTTGTCCATGAGCTTTGTTTAAAACACAACACTGTTAAATGTCACAGAACACTAGGATGATACCACTGTCATCACCTACCATGAACAAAGCAGAGGCGACCATCAAACTGTGGACAGCAGCCCTTCTGTTTGTTTTGGGCCTGGGACTATGTGTGAAAGAAGCAACATGGAGGAACAGTATAGAGCAGATCCCTGTCTATGACGCCAAGCTCACGGTCACTGGGGAGGAGGAGGTCTCTAGTGATGGGGCAGACACTGTCTAGTTGGGAAAGAACCTGGATGTTGACATCTGCCCACCTGGAAAGGAAATCTGCCCAGCCCTGGCTACAGTAGTTGTCCAAGCCCTGCCCGGTGGCCTGGTCCCTATCTTAATGTCAAGATGTCCTGCCTTAACTGCCACAGCTGCCCTGCACCCAAATGGAGACAAGAATGCATGTGCCTCTCCCCATCCATCCAAAGAGAATGTGTCACAGCGGACACAAGCAGGATTTGGTTACACAATCGGACATCCTTGCAATCCCCTTAGTGGATGGCACTGTCAGCCTCACCTCATCGAAGTCAGCAATGATCTCGTTGAGGAGCCGCAGACATTCTACTCCCATGTTGTTGCCATCAAGCTCAATGTAGAAGTCATTGAAGTTGGGAATGGAGGCAAACATGACACCCACCTGGGAGTAGGACTGATAGTAGAGGTCCTGCAAGGGCAGAAGGGGTCAGCCTTACCAGGCCAGGAATGGCCAGCCAAGTGGCACAACACACAGAAGGGGGATGGGCCAGGCCACTGTGGGCACAATTGCTTCTAAAGGAATAGGCCCCGAGGGCTCCAGCATGCAACACACATGCATGGGCAAAGCCCATGTGGTTGTATTCCTTGTTTAACTTACCAAAATGAGGCGGGAGCAGACATAGGGGATCATAGAAAAGCCATACACTGACTGGCTCTAGAACTCAGCGAAGTGTACAAAAACACTGTTAGCTGCTTCAGGACAAAGTAGGACAAAGCACTGGTCCTAGGACCTTAAACCAATCTGGATTTCTTCACTTTTGAACCTTGGCCTTTGTAAGCATTTGTTTTGCACTGTGTCAGTGGCTCTAGTAACTGCAGCAGGTAGGGCTGTGAGGAGCTATGACCAACCCAACCATACCAAACAGAGAAGTAAGAAAATCTCCAAATGTTTCAAGCAGATGTAACAATGGCTACACAGACAGGCATGTGCTGCTTTTTAGGTATATATTGCTCAAAAATTGGCTATGAGGGAAGCTTCACATGAAATGTTCAGAACTTGAAAAGGAGCTTTCCTCACTACATCTGGTTTATTAAAACCCATTTTCCTTCTCCTGTATGTTATGAACACTATGTACTAGTTCATGATCAAAGGGAAAATAAATGCTAACAATGCATCCTTGTCAACATTGGGCCCCCAAGTTTCCTGGTGGCCCAGAATTCATCCTGCACTAGGGAATGGGCAGGGAGGCCAGGCAAGGAGCTGAACCACTGAATCCTGGGATTAGTGATGGTTAAAGCAGGCTCCCAGGTGTAGGAGAAGCAATGGCCCACAGAGAGGGCCATGCTGAGCTGGAAGTCCAGCTGCAGACCAGGAAGCCCTACCACACAGCAGACCCTGTGAGGCCAGGCACTCACCATGTTCCTGGGATTGGACATGAGGAAGTGCTGTGCCACATGGGCTGGCAGGAGGTTGAAGAGGATCCTCTTGTTGTCCAGCTTCACCCTCTCCATGTCATCACGCTCCTCTTCTGCCTGGGGGTTCACAGGTCATGACTCCCAGCCATGCATGTTGCCCTCTCCTTCCCACCATGAAACCTGTCTGATCACTGACACTGGACTGCAGCAGATGGCCAACAAGGCACTCTCCTTTCACCAGACACAGGGACCAGGGTCTTAATCCAGGGTTGAAGGATTCACTATTCCACCTACTGGAACTTTCAATGGGTGGTCAATGGCTACCCCATTTCCAGGGTCACCTGGCCCCAATTCCCCTGGCTCTTGACTACCTCCTGGGAATCAGTCACGGTGGCTCTTTCAGAATGACATGTCCACTCCAGACTGCACCAGCCCCAGGTAGGCGTCTTGTTTGCTCTGCCCAGAAGGTCCAGCACCAGGTCGTAGATACCTCCCTGGGGCACCATACTACCCCCTCAAATCTTCTTGCCTCCAGAAGAGCTCACATACCTCTGGTACTGAGACAAGAATGCTGTGGGAACTGAGCTGGGCTACATCCAGGAGCTCATCCCTATGAGCACAGACTCCCACAACCCAGTAGCAGGGGGTGAAGCCTAAGGGTTGCAAAGAGGATGGCAGGAGCAGCCTAATACCAGCTTGCTTGACAAGAACTAGGGCCCTAGAGAGTTGACAAGAGCTGACAGAAATGGCAGGGATGGCCTTATGCATGGGCCACCATGAGACTAGAGGTGTACTCCTAGCAGGGTCCCATGGCCTGAGGAATGGCACAGCTTTCACAGACAGATGGTATATATCTCCACTCCCAAGCTTGAGTCTCTAAAGGAGTTCGGCTTGAGGAAGTCTATGTATATATCATCATTTATAGACATCAAATTCCTGGTAGAGACAAAATACCATGATGTCCCTCATGCTTGGGGCCTGTCACCAAAGGCTATGGCTCGGAGGCCACAGTGCCACCCGTGGACCAATTCCATATGGTGGCACATATTACATATGATACACAAAGCAGGGCAGGTGATTTCCTGTGCTGCAGTATCTTGTCACTCAGCTTTAGAGGCCTGTTCCTAAGGCTGATTTGTCAAAGGCCTTGAGAAGGCCCATAGCCTCTCTTTAGAGTTGACATTACCAGGTATGTGTTGGTAGATTTCATGTCATGACTCCACCTGTTAAATCAAGAAGTGATGATTTCTAAAAAGAGATGCAAGGAGGCTGAAAGCCAAAAGGGTTGGGGTGAGGACACAGTGGCCACAGGGTGAAAAGTCCAGGCATATCTAGCATGTAATGGGCCACAGAGGTGTTTTTTTGGAAAACAAGGTCAATGGATTAGCATGACCCACACAGACAGCACTAAATACTTTCTCCTGCTCTTTAGAATGGGCAGCCTACAGTGCATGGGAACAAAAAGAAAGATACCCTTGGGCCCCAAACTTCAGGTCAAACCAGAGCTGACACTGGTTATCACTGCCCAGACAGACTGGAGACCATTCTGTAAACAGCAGGAAAAGGCCACTGATAATTCTGAAAAGGACTCAGATCCATGACCTGTGTTGGAAAGAAAAGCAACAGAAGGGAACAGAGGCATGCTCTGTGCTGAGCTAGAACTCCAGGGGTGGCTCTGTCAGCCAGGTGCCCAGGAAGGGAATCCATTACTTGCTCTGGGTCTCTCTCAAAGGTCAGTGGCCTCTGACTTCCAGCCTCTGTCTTTTCATCCCTCATTCCTGTCAATATAATATTCCAAACACCCTCTCCCTCCTCTCCATAAGAAATATATTGCTGGGGCTGGAGAGATGGCTCAGCAGTTAAGAGTACTGACTGCACTTGCAGAGGACCCAGGTTCGATTCCCAGCACCCACACGACACTACGAACCATCCTTAACTCCAGGTCCAGGGGAATCTGAAGCCCTCTTCTAACCTCCGCGGCATTGCACAACATGGGTACACTCACATATATGCAAGCAATACACTCGTACACATAAAATAAAAAAAATAAAGAAAATATTTTTAAAAAGAAATATATTGCTTACAAATTATATTCAACATGCTGTATACTAATACACTCCAAAGAAAAATTTTAAGGGATAAAAGGAAAAAATGATATTTAAAAAATAATAGCTTGGTTATATTTATTAATGGAACAAAACGTTTATTCTACTCAAAATAATTATTCTAAATGCCAATCATATTTTAATAAAACAACATAATTGAAATACTTTTATTAAAAACAAAATCTTTTAATAGTCCATGTCATCTGGGGTACCCCTTAAGGGAGTGGGGATAGTAAAATACAGGTAAAATGAGAGTAAAGAGGGGGGAATCCTGAGGATAGGAAGGTCCAAACACAGAGGGGGCAGGAGATGGAGAAATGAGGCAACGACGGAAGGTTTAACCAAAATGAAGGCAACTGGCTGCTGGCAGGTCACTTGTGTCCAGTGGATGGCCCCACACTCATGAGCACACAGATAGCACTAACTGAACTCGGGGTTATTAATAACAATAAAAAAAAAGACGACAGAGCTGGAGTGGTGGCTCATGCTTTTAATCCCAGCTCTTGGGAGGCAGAGGCAGGTGGATCTCTGTGAGATCAAGGCCCTCCTGGTCTATATACCAAGCTCCGGGCCAGCTAGGACTATGGAGAGATCCTGTCTCAACAAAACAACAACAACAAAAAAAGATATGAGGTTGGGAGGGAGTAGAGTGGGGACACTGGGAGTTGTTTGTAGTAGTGGATGAATATGATCAATATACATTGTATAAATGTATGAAATTTTCCATCAAAGAATAAAATGTTATTAAAAATAAGACTAAAATGAAAACATCTTGGCTTGCCACACTGCATTAAAAGGTCTCATTGTGAATTATGCTTACACCAACATTTGGGTTTGGGAATTGCCAGTCTGTCCTTCCTAAATCTTCATATATTTCTTATGTTCATGCATAGGTGCAAAGAGTTTTTGTTGTTGTTGTTGAAATTTTACTGACAACATCCATCCTACCTGTGCCAGTTATTTTCATGAAGTAAGCAGAAGTTCTACTATATTTTTAATAAGATGAAAATCCATTGAAATTGCCTATTTAGAATATTTTCTAACCAGTCAGGAAACTCTAGGATTTTAAAATTTTTTATTTTATTTATTACTTTTATTTTATGTGTATGAGTGTATTGCCTGCATGTATGTGAGTGCGCCCATGTCGTGCAATGCCGGAGAGCTCAGAAGAGGGCTTCGGATTCCCCTGGAACTGGAGCTAAGGATGGTTCGTAGCCGCCATGTGGATGCTGGGAATTGAACCCAGGTCCTCTGCAAGAGCAGTCAGTGCTCTTAACCACCGAGCCATCTCTCCAGCCCCAACTCTAGAATTTTTAAGGAATCATTGTGAGTGATGCACATTATTCTGTCAGCAAGGTCATAAAAGATTCACACTGAACTTTCTGTTTTCAAAATGTTCTCTTGATGGTACTTTCTTTCAAAATGTATTTCCCTTTTCACGTACGCTTACATTTTAGAACTTACTGACCTAGGGTACATCTATTGACCATGATGTAGCATTTCCAAGGAGGTCACAGATAGTGCTTGTCATCTTGGATAAAAAACAAAACTAAACAACCAATGTCCTAATATGGCACCTTCCAGAGATGCTGACATAAGAGTCACATGACTCTCACCATCACTCTGATAAAGCATTCTCAGTGGAAGAACATCAGCAATCCCCACCCCAGTGCCTGCAATCAATATTATGTTCCCCACAATGGAACAGCCTGCATAGTTTCTCCATCTCTGGCTGTGAGTCCTACAAAAGTCACAGGGCATCTGCCAAGAGGCTGGTCACCAGTTCATTCTTCAATAACAGGATAGCACATTAGCTAATTTTCAGATACACTCACTATGAAGAAACTTTTCGATATCCTCTCCCTCTGAATCATCTAGCATCTTTCTTTGGACATACTTTTAGCTCTAAGAACCACCTTTTCTGGAGAAAACGCAGAGAGGAACTGGACACATCTCAAGACAGGAAGGCTAAGGTCAAGCATCTTCAACACCTATGGAAGAGAACTATAGTCTCTAATCTTCGTATTGAGGTGTTTCCTGCTACCTTCCTTTCCTTGACAACTAATTTTCACTTAAGTCAAAGGCACCTGGCAGAACACGCCTCCTGGACACACTAAGACCACAGCATGAGGAGAATCAGACATGGCACCCATCTCTGCATAGTGTCACCACCCCTCAGATGAATGAATGCCAAGATCAGGGTGTCTCAAACCAGGCAGATAGGGCTGGATACAGCTGCCCAGAGAAGCCCCAATTTGATGCCAGGGAGACCTGGCAGCATGTGAGGGATACTCCCTCTGGAACAGATTCTAGTGATTCTCCTTCCTCTTTGAAGGCACTGAGTAGAAGTTCTTAATATTCTCCACCAACCTCCAGAAACCAGTGGATGGCAGAAGCTCCTCCCGTGAAGACAAGGAAGACCTGGCTTTGATGTGGTGGGCACCCTCTTTCCATGCTTCAAAGGACAGAGGAAGCAACAGTGTGCCCCAGTCTGGTGCCTGAAGGACTGTGATGCTGTGGTCCATGGTTAACGCACACAGACACATAGTAGGAAGAGGATCAAATCTTTGATAGTTGGTGCTACTGACATGCTGGAAGTGTTAGTCACTGCAGTGCAACAGCCTTGATTGACCAAATGCTGGGCTCAGAAGCAGCACTGAGGGGCCACACTTATAACTTCCCAAGTTTCCCCTTGCCTTCTTCCTGTACAGTTAAGTCTCCAGCAGGCTCCTGCCCACTCCAGGTTTCCATCTCCCCATTTTCCCTGGAAGTGAGAGCATACATTCTCTACCCCTCTTTATGATTCTTTCCTTAACTGCTTTGATGACTTTTCCCTCCAATATCAGTTTTCCTAGAGACAATTCCAAGGAAGTAAGTGAGAAGTCTCTACCATCCTGAGCCATCATCTACCTTTCCTTGAATAACTCAGAGGCAGAGAATTCCCATTGCACAGCCTGGCTAATCTACCTCTCAAGCTGTTGAAGAGCCATACTGATGCGAAATGAAAGTCTG